AAAAAAAAATACAGGAGGACTTCAGAGTTGAGTTTTGGGTATTTTGGGGGGTTTGCTGCTGTATAGATATGACCTATTGTACCTCCTGCATGTTGTACCTGTACATGAGATAAGCTTCAAGGCTAAGATTTATTTCAAAAAGAGGACAAAACGAATGAGGCGTTTACTCTGGTCATTTTTAAACATGTAAAAATGTGTCGTATTGAGGAGGGAACAAAGATTATGTATGCAGAAATGAGTTGGATTCACAAAAGAAAATCCTTTTTTCCCTAGGATTACCTCAACTACTTTCTAATTTATATAAAAAGTCAAGATTCTGTTATGAGACAGGAAATCAGAACTTTAACCCGATGTTTCTTTTGCACACTAGTTGAAAAATTACAACATTCTGATCTCGTAACTTACCTTTGTAATTTAATAGTAATGCATTTTTTTTCTTTTGTGAATGCAATCTTCATTCATGTATGTATTCTGATTTTAGTTTAATATTCTGCATAATTTTATTTGGAGGATAGTTGTTTTGTTTTTTTAAGAAAACCAAGCATTCAGACAAAAACAAACTAGATTGTTGAATTAAAATCAAGAGTGGAATATTAAGCATATTTGACAGTCATTCTCAGATATCGGTAATATGCAAAAAGTAGTTTGAAGGATGTCTGTTAGAAATATATTAAAAGCTAATATTCACACAGTTTTAATTCCCTGCTATGTTTACATTTTTTAATGTTTTTAGCTTGTTTGGAAAGAGGAGTTTAAATCACAAGTTTTGTCTAGGTTGCTGTATCTCAGCTATAATAACTACACTACTGCATTTTTTTTTCCTCGTAGCAAAAGAAAAAGAGGGTATCTACAGAAATGTAAAAAGAAACTAAATATGCTGACTTATTTTTGTAACTATACTTCACATGGTTCCACTATTCTTGGGTATTTATTTTTCCACATTTTCTCTTTTGGTGAGAAGTTTCTTACTATAAGATAAAATAAATTCTTCTACACTGTGAATTTGAGTTGTTATTTTTTTGCGCTGTTTTTGAGAAGTAAATGACTTTATGGCCTTTTCTGGGGGGAAGTTACTAAAAATATAACCAACTGCACAAAAACAGAGCTCAGGATTAAATTTGATGTAACGTTGTTCTGCATTAGTCAATGAAATACAAAAAACTATACTTTTGTCAACATGCTTTTCAAATATAAAATACATAGAAAAAGAAGAAAAAAAAAAAACCTATTAGCCTGCTACTAACCAACATTTTATTTTCATGTAGCTGACTTCAAATGTGCTTTGTCACATTTTCTAGTTTGTGTAGGTAATAAGTAAAGTGGCCAATGTTTTTAAACAGTTAAATATTAATTACACATTTATTAGCACTGAATTACAAGAGCTAATGTAACGTTGAAAAAAACAAAAAACAAAAAAACCATGAATGGTAGGTTCTGCCATTGCATGATTTACCATTATGAAGCTAAACATTTCTATGCTTATAAGTGATGAAAGAAAAAAAAAGTAGTCTTTACTTCAAGGAAATATAAACAAGTTCACCAAACTGGGGACTTCCAGCTTCTCCCCCTGAAAGAAGCTCAGTGATATCTATGAGGACGTGATGCACAAAGCATTAACAAACTCCTATTTGTATCAATTAACCTAGCATGACTACACACAAGCAGAAGTACAAATCAAAGACAAAAACATCAGAAAGTTATTATAGTACTAAGTTCATTTTTAATCAGCTCTCAAGTTGCAAAGTCAATCTATAACAAACGCTTCGGCTAGATAAAATGCAAACAACTGACAAAGATACTCATCAATACATACACGTTCAGTTCCGGCTTATTACACTCTCAAAACCTTTTTGCTTTTTTTTGTTTGTTCCTTTTTACATTTTATAACTGTTACAAACAAAACTAGCATCGGTGTCAAAGGCAACACAAGTAAAATCATGACAAAAGAAAATGAATCACAAAAAAAAAAATTCTCAAAGTTTTGGTCAAATGTTCAGGCAGGTTTGGTTATTTCACCATAAAATCTTGATTTTGGTCTGATAGTCAACACCACGGCAGGGCATTCCTGTCCAGAAGATTCAATGACTGGACTGACTTTGGGTTTTGTTTTGTTTGTTGTTGTGAGGAACAAGGTTTTCCTGAAATGGAAGCAGCATTGAGTATTGCATAAGAATAACACAACTATTTTCCTAAGTCAAAGAGTTATCACATTATATTTTTTGCTTTTTGTGATTACTACTGACTCAGAACAGGACCTACTTTGCCCCACAGTCACAGAGGGGTTGCATTTAAAACTAACTTTGTGACAAATATATTGTCTGTTTATGAGAACACAATACAGGAAATTGTGTAATTGTTCTTTTTGTATGCTTTTCTTCACTCATGTAGGCAATTTGCCAAAAAAGACAATGCACAACAGACAAGGTTAAAGATCACTGGGCGCATTATGGTCTTTAGATATAACAATATGTGACAGCACACGAAACAGCCAAGCAATCAGGAACAGCAAGACTTTCCAATATTTCACGTTTGCTATCTTAACTTGACTGTCTGCAACTATCTCTGAAAACTATGTTGGGGAAAAAAGTCATTTACTGAACAGTTTCTGATGAATAAGCAGCAAGTAAACAATGCTTTGCTGAAACTTTGCTGAAAATCCTCATCCAGCAGACCCCTGCTCATTTTAGCCCCACACACTTTGGGTATGTAACCTAACCCAGGGAGTGAATGAAATGTGCCACCTTAATGATGCTGACAGCTTTTCTGTACCTGGCCTGTGGTGACACTGCTCTGCCGAGTGTGGTGAGAACAGTTTCTTGTGAACCTAGTGGAGTTTTTGAATTCAGGTTAATGATTTCCGAAAGAGTATATATCCATCAAAGTCATACAAACTACATGAAAAGATTGATACATGAAATATATTTTCAAACATCAACTTGGAGGAACATTTTAAACTTTAGCTGGATTATGCTGCATCACACACTGTTATAATTTATCAAGCTTTGGAGCACTTCTGAAAGGTTTTTTTTTCATGGGGAAAGAGATTTGTTTAAAAAAAACAAAAGGCAGAAAATGTAAACTTAGTAGAATAAGTACAGTCAAGACATAGTCACATTCCCACAGGCAAAATTCAGAGAAGTGTATATAATAGGCCAATCACGTCTGCTTCCACAAGATAAAAATGCATATATGTAAGTTTAATTCGTGAGCAATTTATCAAGGAAACTAAAATATTAACATAAATGTGCAATGATAAATGTATTTGCAACTTCCTCCTCCAGACAGAAACACCACACCGTGGTTGGTATCAGATACCTTTATAATGCATTTTAGCTGACTATAAGACGCAGTGGCCATCTGTATCAAGTCGCAGCTGACATGTCGGGGAAAAAAAAGAAAAGAAGCAAAACAAAAGCAAACAAACCCAAAAAAACAAAACAAAACAAAAAAAAAAAAAACTGGATAAAACCAACAAATGTTTTGCAGCTCCTGCATCAGAAACACTGAACAGGTCAATCCGTTCTCATACTGTCAAACATGCTGACAGTGCAACAAACACACAGGCATCGATACACACATTGAAAACTGAACGAACGAGTACAAACCGCAGGCATCAGAGAGAATTCACACACAGGAGATCCAAAAATAAAAGCTCTTAGAGGTACTTAGATTGATTTGTTGTTTTGATAAATCTGACATACACAAAAAACCCAGAACATCTGACTTCTGTTCGCTTTTGCCTCTGATTTATAATCTATAATCAATAATGCATTAAAATATTCAGTAGCTCACAAACTTTACAGAGGATCAGACAGAAGAGTTATTATAACAGGCACAACATGACCGCAAACAGTGTAAACTTTCAAAGTGAATTCAAAAACAACACTTAAGACACGATAGGTTCATGGAGAAAATGACGGTCAAAAACAGCAAGAGATGGACGGAAGATTTAAAAAAAAAAGAAAAAAGAAAAAAGAAAAGGGAGGGGGTGGGACTGAAATGAAGACACGATGAGTAATATTGGAAGAAGGGTTCAGGTAAAAACCGACAATTTGTCCTAGAAGATTGTCACAATTAAAGGCATTGGTTAAGGAAAATTCTTGCCCATTTGGAGACGTGTTCAGATCTCAAATACAAAGACTTTTAGTGTTAATCTGTTTGACCCGAGCTGCGATTGCGATTGTAAAGTTAATCAATATTGAAGCAATTTCCCTAACTTTATTAGTCCTAATAAGTTGCATGTCATCTAGTTAAAGTAGTTAAGCAACTGCATGTCATGTTTTGCCTCATAATTCATTTTCATCAATTTCTTTCAACGGAAACTTGACATGACTATGTTAAAAACTGACACTCACAGAGAACTCACAATTATGCAGCATGGTACGGAGCTTTTTAGCCTCTTTCAGCTTTAGTTTTGGTTTTACAGCACATTTACTACCCGGTTTGGTCTTGCTGCTCTGGCCAGCCCAAACAATTTCACCAAACGGCAGACAGGCAAAAAACAAAGACACAAACATTAAACAGCCACAAATCCAGTTTAATTTATGGAGGAGACTCAACCAGAGCTGAGAGGAAGGTGAACAATGGAGTAAAGAATTACAACTCCTGTCTACATGCGCTAGGTGTGTAATCTGGCTACTGACTGCTAACATGCAAGGACTGCCACTCGATCTTCTCCCCTCTAGTGGCTAAATGATAGACTTCTGCTAAAACATCACTCGCTTTATGAATAAAAGGTGGGCCAGAGTAAACTAATAACCACACATTTACTTAGTTCGTTTTACTGAGGTTTCTCTTCCAACTATACTTTTAGACATAAGTGGCTTGTACATTATAACTATTTTACCCATACAAACAACGTCTGCATAATTTACAACCAAAATAAAAGACAACACCTGTAGAAAACATACACAATGCTGCAAACCAGCCTACAGAAAGACAGAATTTTCTGCCAAGTAACTGGGAGACAGAGTCAACGCTTCATACTATCAGCAAATTATTGTTGAACATCTAAAAATCAAATATACTGTAAGTAGCACTTCAATATGGCAATGAAATCTGTTGTTGGAAAATTAATATGTTTAGCTGTCAAGAACCTAAAGTAACAAATATTTATTTGAAAAAAATGTTATTTAACACACTGTCAGATTCAATTTGTGGTTAAAATTTTAAACTATAGTACTTGTTTCTTTGCTTGATATAGTGTTATGTGTATGTATTTATTGTAACTTCTGCTGCCCTGTTGGCCAGGTCTCTCATGAAAGAGGTTTTAATCTTAATGAGATGTTTACCTAAATGAATAAAGGAAAATGATAATAAATATACTGCTTCCTAATGACCCATTTGTTAAGCCCTGGTCTTTGATTTGCTTTGAATGACAGCCTACAGTAAACCCAGCACGCTACAGCTATACTCCCCCACAAGTTGGAACAGCTTTGAACTTTCTCAGCTGGTTCACTGATGCACAAAAATCAACATTTATCAGCAGCCAATCAAATCTTTTTTCCCTCAATATTCTTTGATCACATAAGGTGTTATTTGATTTATGGAAAACTGAGCTGCACTTTAAACACACACACACACACACACACAGAAAAAAAAAAAAACCCAAAAAGAAATCACTGACTCAAAGATGAAATTGACATTTTAATATAGTGGATTTTGTAATTAGCATCTAAATACATGCCACTGTTGTCGTGTTTCAGGTGCAAAAACATAGGCTTTTCCTGTCCTCAGTGAGTTAAAAGGTTGTGATCAAGTAAAAAAAAAAAAACTAAGCCAAAAAATAAAAAATAAATGCAAAACTGTAGAGGCTTCAAAAATACTTCACTTTTTACACGCTTTTGTTGGATTACATTTATACATTTCCTGATTAATCTAAACTTAATAACACAGTGACAACATGTTTTTGCCCAATAAAAAAAAAAGTTTTGGAAGAAAACCCAACTACTGAGTGCTTCTACCACAGGCTGAGACATCCAGTCATCCTTCAGCATACCATGAATCAATGAACTAAAGAACAGAGCCATTGCAATGCTGGAAAAGCTTCAGGGCGAGTCACTGTTGGTTCTTAAGTGGCCAAGCCAAATTTTTAATCCATCAGAACATCTTTTGAGAGGCACAAAGAAGACACTTCCCATCCAATCTGATGACGCTTGAAGATGCAGATTAGCTCGGATGAATTGGATAAACCACCCAAATCCAGGTTGAAGAGATTTAACCAAGACAACTCAAAGCTGAAATTAGTAAAACCAAAGTTTCTGGATTTTTTGTTTTTATGCTTTGAGCACAAAAATACTAAAACAATGAAAAAGTAAATCAATATAAAAGCAGCTACTTAAATTAAATTAAATTAGATGACGTAACACAGGAACGTGGGATGTAAAGAACAGAACAAAAACAGGACAACAGAAATAACTACATATGTCTCGCATGTACTGTAAAATAAATAACTAGTCAACATATAATCTAACATTAGTCATGGACAGAATTGGAGCCCAGAGCCATATTGGAGTTTCTCTGATTATCTGATGTAAAGATGTGAAAAAGTCTAATCAAAAATCAGCTGCACTGAAGATCTCATGTCACCTGATAAAGCTAATTCTGCATTTTACTCCCATTCTATGCTGTTATTATTATTTTTGTGATTAGAAAGGATTTATTCAGAGAGCTTGGATGTTGATTTGTTGCTGCAGACAACTTTATTTTGAGCTTTTTAAGTAAATGGTAGAAAGTTACAATGACAATGTGCCTCCCGAACATCTAATAGCACAGCTGGACCGTCTCCAACAAGGTCTGCCTGACTACAGTGGAATAATGCTTCAAAGGTCAAGGCAGTAGGTCACTTTGGAACAACACATCTATGCTGATAAACACTATTAAAATGATCAATATGCAATTGATTTTTTCCTTTATTGCACATGTGTCATGCTATACCCATACAAGTCCTATAATAAAGATGGCATTCTTTCCAAAGGCCAACAATAGGCTGAGATTTCAGTTTCTGTAGAAGTAAAGAAAACGGCCCTCTGTCTGCATGTCTGTCAACATTTTTCTACCGAGTTTATCAGGTCAGTTGCTCATTTCGGGTCACACCGTCTAAAACGTTAAGTTTATTTTGTATATTCTGGTCAATCTGTATGTCAGAAAGGAGGATTATCCAGGATATGCTCACTATGGCTTACTTTGGCTCCACTACATCTGGTTTCACAATGCCAAAATCACTCATTTTGAGGCTTCAAAACAAGTAGCTATGCCCATCTTTTATAGTGTTGATGGCACCAGCCATCTGAAAAAACTGTCTCTTAATTAATACTTTGGAAATGGAAACAAACATATAAAATCTAGCCAAAAAACTTTTCTAATGATATTAGGAATCCTTAGCAGACTAGGATATATCTAAACTTATCAAATGCTAATATTTGATATGAGAAGGTGGAAAATGCCAGTATTTGTGGTCTTCTACTTCAGTGAAAACCTCAAGTTTGCCATGTAAAACCAGGTGATGTGGCTTAACAAAAAATAATAATAAACCCCCACCCACCCCACAAAAAAAAACCAACTTTAAAATGAAAAACGTTAAAGTTGGTAGGACACTGAAAAAACAAACAAACAAACAAAAAACCCTGACAATGTAGGAGTGTTTAAATAGATTTTTTCTGATTGTGGTCAGAAAGTGAACGTTAAGAATCACCAACAGTAGGAACATGATACATCATCTGCTTGGATGGTGCTCACTACCAAGCTAGCAGACGGCATCATTTTTAAAATATTATTGATGTCACATACTGTATGCTGTTTGGTTGTTTTTGTGTGGTAAATTTGTGTCTTCATTGTAAACGAATGAAATATAATATATGGTCACAAACAATTGAGGTCAAATGCTATACCCTTTATTAAGTGTGCAACTTTCTATAATCTATATAGGACAATACTACCTGTAAACAAAATTAGTGACAATGGAAAAAAGTACATGTTTCTGATACCATACTGCATGAGAGGGTACTATCTGATGTTACCTAGAGAAAGAAACAAAAGAAGCCAGCAGTGGGTGATTTTATTTTATGTTATGCTGCACTATAAATTTTTTTATTTTATTAACAAAAAGAAAAAGCATTTTGCATTTTTTAGCAAATGTCTGCCATGTCTAAACCTGACAAAAAAATGTAAAAATCAAAAAGTTACTAAATGTGGCTCATATGGGTACAGCATAGGACACTTTGTGAAACGGGGAGAAAAAAACAATTATAAATAACAGAGGAATTAAACCATATCAGTCACACAATTTCTGACTGTGATCCAGGAGCAAACACTTTAGGAGAGGACCAATACTGATTAAAAACAAAGTTAAGTCCCCCTCATTTTGCGGCCATAAATAGATAGATCAACATATAAAGAGTCCAAATTAAACTTTTAAATGCGTCTTTTTGACTGTTTAGGTCCGTTAAATCATTCAAAGCACTTGCGAGCAGTTAAATTGGGAGCGTGCAGAGCCTATTCCCAGGGTGCATGTTTTTAACTAGGCACATTGTGCGTCTGACAGTGATGAAACTGTCCCCTCCTGTTTTAATTTCCTTCTAAAGGCAGACCAACAGAGACTGTATTACCGTAAGAGTCCATTAGAGGGGGATAGAGTTCTTTCATTGTCAGAATGACATTAGGGAGGACAAGTAAGCATAAAGGGAGGAAAAGAACCAAAATAGGAGAACATGGCTAAATGTTAGCTTTAAAGAGCACAGGGGTGATGAAACAATGAAGAGACATGCTATCAAAAATGACAAGGATAAAGTAAACAGAGGAAGGAATGTGGTGAGAAGAAGGACAGACGACAGAGCAGCACTGACTGGTTGTTGTCCTGTATCGCCTCTTCATCTAACATGCACATTTCTTAGCATTCGGCTGTGCATCACCAAGCTTTGTGGCCCCGTTCCCATTGGCAGGCTCGGCAGGGGGTTTGTCGACGCACTGCTCCATCCTCTTCATGACCAGGTCCAACAGCGTTAGAACCGCCTTGTCCACATCTGCTCCTGTCGCTGCACTCGTCTCAAAGTACGGGATCCTGCAAAGAACAAATCTGCAACTTAAACCAATGTTTTTCCAAATGCACCTCACTTGTTCACTTTCCCTTACTTTGTATTTGTGTTATTTTCAACCATCATGAATTTAAAAAAAGATTTTTTTTAAACTGGTCGAAAGGCTGAGGAAGAGTTTGAAGTATAACCTGTGGACTATGAATTTTGCATTGGGTAAATTAATGAGCTAAAATAATGTGAATACTGAGTATATCCAGCATGTATTCAGTGATAAGTTCTTGTACTTGTAACCATATGGTAGAAAAGTGCAGGTGTGTGAAGACCGAAACAACTTTAAAGGCCCATCAATCTGCTAACTGTCTGAAACAGGACCAATCCAGAGAGACAGTGTCGTTCAGAACCATCTGATCAACAGAACTTTACAGGAATAAATTCTACGCTGGACAACAGAACTGCAGAAAGACTAGTTTGCAATTCTAGATATCTGCTAACTGTGATATGCATTAAAAAACGTGAAGTGTGTGCTTTACATATGATAATGTTTGGCTTATTGTCAGTTTATTATGGGCATCTGCGGGAGATGTCATGTGTTACTGTATTCCTAAGTATGTTTAACAACTTCAGGTGGTTAACCAAAGCTGGAAAACACTTGAAGGCTTGAAGTGGTTAGTTTAACCATCTATACGAGCACATTTAGGATCTGCAATTTTTGCTATACTTGCATTAACAAAGCTTTTTAGGTTTACTCGTTTATGTCAGAACTTACTTATATTACTTCCGTCAGCAAAACTTTGTGGGTTTTTACCTCATCTAACAGGAAGTCGTCTGTTGTTACAGAAAAACCGTGTACCATCTATTCATAAACATGCAATGTTGATGATCACAATAATCCTAACAATGATATTCTATAAAAGAAAATTATCAATGCTAACAAAATAAAGTATTTATATCAATCATACATGATGTACAAAAGTGAGTGTTGTTTTCGGCCAAAGCCCCACATGTTTCTGAGCCACATTAATGTTATTTTAATGCAATAGAGCAGAACAGAGGTGTAAAACAGGTGGTTATTACAAGATATATATGAGATATGGAGTTATGTAACATCAAAAATCACTATTACATATTTGCTTTTCTTATTCTCTATCACGTCATATTTACACAATGTGTTCTAAAGCCTGTCAAATATCAATGTGGATCAGAGATCTGAAGCACATCGGAACATTACAGTATGTTAATTTAAATGTCAGATTTTAATTGTGCAAATTGTTTCTTGCCTGCACGTGGCTGAGAGATGCACACCTTCCTTTTACTTTTATAAATACCTGCAGCCATACCCGTAACGTAGGACAAAGTGTTTACGGTATTAGTAACTTGAGGACATGTGGAGGGGTAAGGATCCAACTGTACAAGGTCAAGCATGGAAACAGTGTCAATTGAAATTTAAGTTAATGCAGTTTTTCTCCTAGATAAATAAACATCAACAGTATTTAGTGTGTGCATATAGACTTAAGTATAAGTGCAAGATATAGTTGTAATTGTAAATACCTTAAGTGTCCATTGATATGAAAACAGCTGCTTAGTTTCTACAAGACGCTAAGGAAACAACTTTTGTTTTTTAATTAAAGCCATCATGTTTTTAGGGTAATACCGAGGCCAGAAGCTCTTTTGTGAAAGTCAGACGAGAAGTTGCCACCGTGTGCTCTCAGATAAACAGTAACAAAAAATAAATAAATAAATAAAATATCACTGTTCAACACCTGAAGTGGTCTTAATATCTACTAATACATACGGTTAATGTACATGACAAATAAACTTGCCCGTATTTTTCGGCCAGCTCCTTGGCCTGTCTCTCCTGAACCTCCCGCTGGTCGGCCAGATCCGCCTTGTTCCCTACCAAAACAATATCTGGGTTCTCACAGTAAGCATTCGCCTGTAGCTGGCCTGAAAATGAATACAGATTAAAACAGAGTAAATAAATAAAAACTGATGTATCAGAGGAACTTCAAACAAACAGAAATGTTTTGTTATACTCCTATTTCATGCTTTCACAATACATTAGTCATCAGCCTTTTACATATTTTAACAGTGAGCTGAACATTGTTGGACTGAAATGCTTTGATAGCAGATTCCAGTAAACATACTCATCCAGTTTCTGACGTTGAGAAAGCTCTGCTGGCTGGTGAGATCGAACATCAGCAGGAACCCCATAGCATCCCTGAAGAAGGCCGTGGTCAAGCTGCGGAACCTGAAACACAAACAGTTTTAAAGAGTACAGATATGACAATGTGTATTTTTTAAAGGGTTTCTAAAAACATCTTAATTGTATTATACTGCACAATATCCCGAATGTGAAAGCCACCCAATCACATTAACTGCTAGCCTTATGAACAGACGAGGCTAGAATTGATGTGTCCACAGATGCAGTTCTTTTAACAGCCACAAGAAGGTGCTGCAGAAAAAAAATAGACAATCCTACAATAACTACGTAAACCCAAAACAAGTGTGAAACCTGAATTGATTAATTTAAAAATGTTTGAGCACATCACGTTTTTAATTGAGAGCAAATGCCTGAAAGCAGTCACAGAGCAACACTGTATTGTTCTGTTTTGTTGATTTGTAGCCTTCTTTTAGGCCAGCTGATAAATATCAAATATTCACATTGTGTCAGATGTGTTCTGGGTCTTTACCAACTCCTTTTAGTGTTTGGCATTGTATCAGTGTATAGCAACATTTCAGATCTTTGGGCACAAATCAAACTATTCATTTTTCATACCAGGCTGTAAACATGCCTTCAGTTTAATGATGAGCTGGGCATTTTAACTTGTCCGTTTGAACTTAGGGCTATTAGAAATGCAGTTTGTTGCACTTCCATGCTTCATTTTCCAGCACAGGATGTCACATTTGCCCAAATTAAACTCTCAGAATAGATATTTTACTAATGTCTGTCAAAAGATTTTAAAAAATAGACCTTTGCTGCTCTACATCTGGAGATTGCTGGCTGTCACCAGGTGAAACTGGTCACAAAGACAGTGCTGCACTGAAAACCTTGCACACTGCTAGGAGATTGCCTTAGTCACCCGTAATTTGCACGGAGGACACCAATGCTTCCATTTTCCACTGCAAGCTGTAGTGTTTGTTTGTTTTTGTTTTTTTTAAATCAGAAGCCCCATTTCATACCAAACAAACATTTTGAAAAGGTGCAACTTTTACTTTGAAGGGTAAAAACTTACAACCGGTTGGGGAATACACATTTTTCTTCCCTGGTAATGGATGGTTGCCACATGGTCCTGGATTGTTCTCTGGGGGTCTAAACATGACATTCTAACATTTTGCAATATCAGTGTTTAAGCTGAAAATCTGTAGTCGCCAACCATTTCCAAAAATCTGTTATTCCGATGAATAATTCTATGAAACCTTCTTGCACAAAACAGAAACATTGATTTCAATTTGATCAATATCAGCTTATAACTTTGTAAGTAAGTAAAATATATGAGCTGTAATTTCACCTGTGTTCAAGCACTAAATACAGAAAAACAATAGATGTGTGCCATGTCCGTTTCTACCCGCACAAGTTAGTAATGGGGCTCCCCCAGCTGAAGTGCATATTCTGAGACATGCTTGTGCTTCTGGGTGTGACAACAGCGAGTGTGTAAACATTACTTATGAGCAATATTTAAGATGCAAACAATCGGAATGAAGCAGCAGATATCAGAGGTGTCTCCACCGCAGCCTGCTTACAGGTGGAATAATGACTTTAACCGCTTGAATAAATGATCATGCGGAATCTGTTGCACTGGGCAGAATAAATGCAATTAAAATTATGTAACTAACACCGACTCATCCTGCGGTGAGTCATCGGGCTTTTATAAACAGATTCAACAGATCGAGGTCGGGACCAATTAAAGACCACACACGCATGACTGACACATGCAGCCATAAATACTGGTCTGTTGTTTCTCTATCTAGATTTCAGAAATAAACTTTACTACTCTACAATTATAAACTTTTTTAAAACGTTTTTCATTGTACCATTTATCTGTTTTGATATCGTCCCTGGTGATTTCATTTTGGCATTATTGCATTTTCTTTTGGTGAGCTTCAACCAATCAGTAATGACTGACCAATCAATTGGAAGTCAATTCCTTGGGTCAATTGTGCAATGACAGCTAAAACTGTAGTTTGTTGCACCTCAAGTCTACACACCATCTAACCCCAGTGGGATATCCACAGTTGTAAAACTGGCCCTAAAGGTCAGCTGTATGACTGCATCAGTTTCATCAATGCTTGTTACTACTGCTTCATGATTAAAGATTGGGTAGGTATGTTTTTTGTGTTACAGAGTAACAGGCAGAGGACTTTAAGACAAAACTTTAAGCACTGGTGCTTTAACACATATTTAAAGCCTTGATGCCATCCATCAGCCCCACCCGGCATTTATGACCTGTAGAATCACGGAGAGTCTTAAGCCCACAATCCACGATGCCATCAGTGATGTGTGAACCGAGTAACTGTTAGGAAAAAGATTTTGTCCTAATGGGATAAGTGGCCTACCTTTCCTGTCCAGCTGTGTCCCAGAGCTGAAGGTGAACCTTGAAGGTTTTACCCGTGGTCGTCCCATTGGGGTTAGACGCTGTGTAGACCTGAGGAGAAAGAAACCGCACAATTTTAAATGAGATGACCGTTTATGAAAGAAAAGTCATTTATACCTGGTGTATATTACAAGACTTGCAATTAAAAACAAACAAACAAACAAAAACAATGACATTTAAATCAGTCGACCCAAAACTGACCATTACAACTGTCAACCTTCCTCAACCTTGAAAAATAAGTATCTCTATAAGGTGATTGGTGCACCTTTGTTTTGGGCTAGGAAAACAGCCATAGAGTAAGATTGTTCACTTGATAACAGTAAACTTCTTCCTCGTGATACTGTGTAGAGTTAGATTAGTCAAAGTTACTAATCTACAGTGGTGTGAAAAAGTCTTTGCCCCCTTCCTGACTTCTTGTTTTTTTATTGCTATTTTGCAAAACTGATATTCTCCTTCGGGATGTTTGGTAGACATCAGAATTCATGGTTCCATTTACTGCAGCAAGTCTTCTAGGACCTGAGGCAGCAAAATGCCCCCATCACACTGCCATCACCATATTTTACTGTCTTACTGACTTTCCACAGAGTATTTTTCCAAAGGTTTTGGGGATCATCAGGATGTTTTCTGGCAAATCTGAGAAGAGCCTTTATTTTTTGGATGTTGTCCTGGGGTCTTTTATGACCTTTTGGATGAGTTGTCACTGCTGTCTTGGAGTAATTTTGGTCGGCCCCACTGCTGCAAAGGTGTGCTACCGTTTCATGTTTTCGCGATTTGTGGATAACGGCTCTCACTGCGGTTTGCTGGAGTCCCACAGCTTTAGAAATGGCTTTAACCTTTTCCAGACTGAGAGATCTCAGTTACTTTGTTGTTCATTTGTTCCTGAATTTCTTTGAAACGCGGCGTGACATCTGTCTTTTGAGGATCTTGAGGATTTTGATGGTCCACTTTGTCAGGCAGGTCACGTTTAAGGAATTTATTGATTGAGAACAAGTGTGGCAGTAATCAGGCCTGGGTGTGGCTAGAGAAATTAAACTCAGCTTTCCAAAGATGTGATACACCACAGTTAGTTTAGGTTACAAAATACATAATATAAATACAATGAAATAAAAAAAAAAACAGTTTAACTTTGGGATCTTTTCATTTGTATTTGAAGAACTATTCACCACCTTACATACCCCGCCTCCATTTATTCACCTCACCCCTGCTTCAGTGAATATTTCATCAGGTATGATGAAAACTCATGTGGACAGTGATCCTGACTGGGTAATGATGAAAACTTGTTTGCAGCAGCTGGCTGGTTATGTTCCTGTCACCACAGGAAGCTTCAGGCATCATTCACACCTCTGATTCTCCCTAATGTGACACACTGTTACATTTTCTGACACCCTTTTTAGACTGAGTTTATACAGATCATGTTTGAAACAGTTATATTTGACTTTATGGTGTTCTTTCATTTTTCAAGGTGATAACTGACCTTCAGCTCAGATGGGGTGACATGAAAAGACATGCACTCTGATCGAGGAAGTCTATTTGGATAACAGACACGTCAAAGTTTCTGTTTACTTTACACTGTGGAAAGTTATCAAGGTACTATTTATTGAACCTACTTCTTATAAAGTCATGAGCTAAACACCAGAAACATAGTGCTGTACCTTTGTTTAACAGCATAGTGTTGCTTTGCTGTCATAGCGACTAGCTTGCTCCAATAGATGCATTGAAATGAAAGAATGATGACCGCTTTGTTGTGTGTGTGTGTGTGTGTGTGTGTGTGTGTGTGTGTGTGTGTGTGTGTGTGTGTGTGTGTGTGTGTGTG